CTGGTGTCAAAGCCCCTCACGATGGCACCCATGGCTCTGGCGGTCCCTGCAGCGGCCAGCCCGGCGACCCCGCCTCCAATGATCAGTACCTGGATATGTGGGCGGGAGGGGGGAAGGGGCCGGAGCAAACTCAGGAAACAGTGCTGCGGCGTCCATCAGCAGCCCGGCCCCCGGCTGCGCGGCATGACTGACCCACCTTGGCGGGGGGGACTTTCCCGGCAGCGGTGATCTGACCGGTGAAAAAGCGCCCAAAGTGGTTGGCAGCAAGGATCACGGCCTTGTACCTGCCGACGAGACATCGTCAGTGAGGGGGGGTCCATGTGACACCGGGGGGGTTTCCCCGACAGGCATTCACACAGGCCAAAATCTCACCCTCCCCAAATCACTAGTAACTGCCACTCACATCCACATAAGCAAAAAGAGGCAACTTTTAGACCCGACGCCTCACCCTGCGATGTTGGCCATGGAGCTGAGCGCGTCGTATCCCTGGGCGATGGTGACACGGGGGACCTGATCCATGGCGAGTACGGTGGCCTTGCGCTGGGCCAGCTGCTGCATCAGATCGGGGTTCTGGGCCGGGTACACGAAGCTCACCAGCGTGGAGCCCTCCTTCAGGAGCTCCGCCTCGTGAGCACCCAGCGCGGGGTTGAAGATGGGGGCACGCACCTGGGCGGGAAGGGGGCGTGAAGCGTACTGTGCCTGTCCATCCGGGCAAAGCATCAGGGGCAGCTGGGGTCCAGCCGACCCCCACGGGGGGTCATTACCTTCAGCACGATGTCAGAGGCCAGCACATCCCGGACATCTTTGATGGTGGCCCCCACAGAGGTGTAGAGGTCGTCGGAGAACTTGGCAGCCTCCCCAGAGCCCGACTCCACCACCACGTTGAAGCCCTGCTTGATGAGGGCCTGAACGCCGGCGGGAGACAGCGCCACCCGCCGCTCGTTCTGGAAAATTTCCTTGGGGACGCCAACGGTCAGCTGCTTGTATGGGAGGCCTGTGGGCGGGACGGCACACACACACACACACAAACACACACACACACACAGTCCATATCTTCCAATCATTGTGGGGACTCTCCATTCATTTCTATGGGCATAACACTAATCCCAACTAAGCTTCAGGCTGGGGAAGAGTTACAGCTGTCAAACAAAATACAAGACTTTTGCCATTTTTAGTTTCTTTTGCATTCACAGATTCAAAAACTGAGGCTTATACTGTAGGGACCTGAAAAATGTCCCCAAAAGCTAAAAAGTAACAGGTTTTACTACATTTGATCCCCACGATATGGTAAATACAAACCCGCACACACACGGTTTACATAAACACAGCCCTGAAGAGGCAGTAAGGACCGCCCACTTTGCACATCGGACACCAAACCACCTCACAATAAACCTTCGCAGGGACCTTTGAGACTGAGGTCATCCTGCAAGATGCCTGCAGACTCCAGTTTAGACACGATACACCTGCAGGCAACCAAACACAGAGCAGAAGTCTGACCCCCACCAGGGGAAACATGATCCTGGTACCTATTGGGAGACTCCTGGGTGCCTTTACAGGAATTTCATCCTCCTCTGGAGCATTTGCTCCGAAACAAATGGCAAGATCACCAGCTGCAGCACTACATTTACATTAAATCTCTTTCGCAGGGGCTTTACCAAAGCGGGCAAACAGCACTTTACAAAGGTACGTGCTGTCGAGGAGTCGACCCTACTGTGGCATGACCTGGCATGTTAAGTGAACCCCGTAAGGGATTAACCATCCTGCATACGTTCAGGGCAGTTACCTTCATTTTGGTTATATTAGAACCGCGCCAAAATCAGCATGCTAAGAATAAATGCTGTACAGCATTAAAAATAGAAAATTGGTGGTAATTTTTAAGTGCCTGGAGCAGTGACTGACTGCATGTCACAGGGCACGAAGGGCAGAGCAGCTGGCACCAATGCCAGGAACAGGAGGGGCATTTAAGATTAAGATCGACATTATTGACCCCAGGGGGAAATTTCACCTCTTGGGTGCTACCTGTAATATTTATAACACAATTAATCCAATACAGTCGAGGTCATTCCATCAGATAAAGTCCTAGGCTGTCATGTAACTTTATGACCACAATCACGTTTCCAGTGTGGGTGTGGGCAGTGAGGAGCGTTTTCCAGGAACATGACGAGACAAAACCTGAGCAGCGACTAGGAGGACACCGGCCAGTAGGTCCAGTCTAAGGTTTCTCAGCGACTTGGCAATTGTCACTTGGTTTTGGGGACCCGGCACTACAAAGTCAAGTTTCCCCAATGAGCCAATTCCTGACCTGCATGGAAGGTGGGCTGGACACACTGACTGTACTGTAATGTTTTCAGTCAATAGTCACATTTGCCTCCCTGGTGGACAAGCTGTACTGGGGGGACTCCCCCACGTTTTTATCAGAGCCTCCTATCTATGGTGCTCTTGCCAAACACACACGCGCTTTCAGAAGTGGCTCAAACAAACTAGCCGACCTAGTTTGTCACACTGCCCAATGCACCGGCACCCCAATTGACACGATGCCAGAAATAGCATCCTCAGCTGTCCCAATGAAATGGTGGGGGCCAAGCTCCCATCCGCCCACCCAACACTGCGGGCCACGCTGTGGGTGGCGGGACGCGGAGGTCCGTTCGAGCAGGGAAAGTGCACGGTGACCAGCTTCACCTGCACGTTGCCAGGAAGACGCCAACCGGGCAGAGAGACCAGGTGCCACAATGGAAGGATTAAGCACTAATCAAAGGTGCTTAGTGCCGGACAGGAAACCGCTGACCCTCCCCCCCCAGTGACCCTGCACTAATCCCTTACCGTCAACCTCTCGCCAACCCCCTGCCGGCCCCCCGTTTCACACACAACGTGTCACATAAGCATCTCTTAAACCCCACAAACTCCCTCTGCTGCTTTCCCCCTTACACAACCACCCTCGTGTCCCGGGGGGCACAGCGGACCCTTACCTGGTCCAGCGGCTCGGCAGAGCGGCCGGTTGATGCCAAACAAACGCAGGTGATGTGACTGGAATGTCCTAGGGGTCCGCAAGGGGGCGCGGGTTGCCCCACAGGCCAGGGGGCCGCCACAACTGGCTGCGAACACGCGGACAAGGGTCGCCATGGGAACGCAGATACCAGGGCAAGCTCAGGGGTGGCGATCCTCCTCCTGTAAAAGAACACGAGGCACAAAGCAGTCAGCAAGCCAGATCTGTCCCAGCAGGCCCCGCTCCCTGACCCCCCCCCACCACCACAGCACATGGAGGAGGGTCACGTTACACTACGCGCTACGCAGGCAAAACAAGTCAAACACAGAGAAGGGTAGGGGAAACACAGATAGCATGGTGCAGGGTGATTATCAGGTTGAGCATGCTCACAGCAGACAACAGACCACACTGCATTTAGCTCACACACCCCCATCCCCGTTGAACCCTGCCATTACGTCCTAATCCCACTTTGTGTGAGACTTCACCAGAACCAAGGACTGAAGCCCACTCTAAAATTCTATCAGACCATTTTGAAATAAAACAAATTCATGTTCATATCAGCATTACCCTGTAAAACTACTTATCTGAGCTATTACTTAACAGAGCAGTGCACAAAACTCAGACCCTTACACGATCACGCATGCAAAGTGTCAAACAAGGTCAGGCAGTGAAGTGAACAGCTTTAGCCAGCTTCCCACACCCGAACTCGCTATAAAAATAGTCCGCGGTGGGACGCAAAGGTGCCACCGGAGGATCTCACGCCTCTCAGAGCCACCGTCCCTGCATTCGGTGCTGATTGCAGCGGCACTGACTGCTCGCATGCTGCCAGGTCGCCATCCCACACAGCTAGACTGGCTTTCTGGGGACTGGAGGAGCCGGAGAGCGCGCAGTGTGCCTTTTCAAAACAGAAACAGCGCAAAAAAGGCCAAGCCCCCCCCCAACAGTTTACTCGAGTTATGATCTCTCCGTGGAAACGACTTTTTCCAAACCGGCTTTCTGCCCTTGAACACGCCGAGGTGGCCACACCACGTCAGCAGATACTGCGGGATTCTGGACCCTGATTCCCGGCGTCGCAGCGGAACTTCACACGAAGCGGCTTTGTCCCGCACTGCAGTTTAAACGCTCCGAATGTAATGTCCAGGTCGATGCACATTGCTTATAAAAGGGGTTTAAATGCATTTGGGTACCACGCATCGATACAGCTCCCTAAACTTGGCTCGAAGTGCAGAATTCAAATTCAGTGATTAATAATACATACGAATGACTCGGATTTCGCGGAAAAAACAAACTACGCTGCAGGAAACCGGAGAACAGCGCAAAAAGGACAAAGGCATTTTAAAGCCGGCAATGAATGGAGGCTTCGCTGCGCGCTGCACTGCGCCTCAACGCACCCCCACCCTCCGCACCTGGGGGGATTTTATGCGTGAAGCCCCTTCCCAGGACGATCTGTCACGCTACCCGGTACTGACCTTCACCGACGGGCCGGAGATCCAGCCGTGTCTCCCTACCGAGTTTCCGAATCGGCCACCCGGAAGACGTCGCACCGCGGCCGGGAAGGCGTCTTATTGGGTAGGGGAGTCATATGCCCGGACTGACGTAGGCTGCAGCTGTCCCCGACGTGCAGATCTAATATCGGCCTAGTATAGTAAGTATAGCAATATTTTTTAGTACGATAATAATAACAATTATAATGACAGATGTTTGACTCATATTTCCATTAATTTCCGTAACTTCTGGTACAATTTCACCTTTTATTTCCATTCACCATAAATTTATTATATATTCATCTGCATTAAAATATCAGCATGTTTCTTCTTCTTCTTGTTAATAATAATAAGTTGGGATTGAGCGGTTTCAGAAAATGGATGGACATTATTATTATTATTATTGTTATTGTTATTATTATTATTATTATTATTATTAATATTATGTTTCATAAGGCCTCCGGTCCTCCAGGGGGCGTTCTCCGCACATAGCTGTATAGACTGCGAAAAGAAAGAGAAAGAAAAAGGTAGAAACGGAAAGAGGGAGGGATTAACCAAAGCTGTAGCAGGAAGTTGTGTTTTGTGAGGTTCTCCGACAGCTTTTTTCTGTTTTCTGCGTCAGTAACAGTCAGACCGAAAGTGTGCGGCCGTTTCCTTGAGTTTCGATTCGGTTTCCAGTTCGGATGTGACTCCCCGCTCTGCCTGTTTCAGTGCAGGTATGAACGAGCACTTCGATCGGGCGCCCGGGGCCGGTCGCGCCGCCCTGAAGGCCGAGGGGCCTCTGGAGGGAGGTGACGCCGCGCGATTTTCGTTCAGCCAGCGGGAGCCGCTGCGACAGCCACGGACATCGCCCTCGTTTCTGGAGAGCAGCTGCCCGGCCGGTCTTGGAGGTGTGTGGCGGGGGCGGGAGGCTTAATAGGGCCCTTAGTGATGAAACTCGGACATGTCTGACCCGATGGGGCTGAGACGACTTGTGACAGGAGGGGACACCCGGTAACAGGTGGTTCCCTGTGTACCAGAGCAGTACTACAGTGATCTGTGCGGGTCTGTATTTCCCCTGCCGCTAACGCTTGGTAGCGACAAACATGAGATCATGTTTGGAAACTAATTTTTGTAGCTGTTTTTCTGGAAAACGCCTAGTTTTAAACCTAATCGTCTCTGCAGAATAGGCGACAAATTATGGCTTGGTGAAGAAAAAGATGAAGGGTTTAACAGGGTTGCCAACTCTCACACATCTGACGTGATACTCACGCTTTCAGACTCGCACGCTCCCGCAAAAAGCCGCAAATTTTATTTTTCCACTATTAAAATTATCTACATCAGAATCGTCGGGATAGTTTGCATACCCTACAGACTATTTACAAGGTGATAAAAGTCTTACATGCATGTAAATGAGTGTACAGGCTTGACTCGAATTGAAAATCTCACCCGAACCAGTTGACCGAAGTTGTCAACTCTGGGTTTAATCATTTGCATCACTTGTGTGGGAGAGACTGTGCTGTGATGTTTGTGCCATTCCTGTGCATACTCGCTGTGTGACACCTGTCAGCTTGCAGGTTGCAGGCCACCCCGCCCAGCCCAGATTGGTGCCAGTGAGGATACCCTGGCCATGGGCTCGATCCTGTCTGCCGAGGCAGAGGAGTTCTACCCACTCAGCTACTCCTTAGTGCAGGTGAGGAGTTCAGAGTAGAGGGTCCAGCTCCTGTTAAACACAAGGCAGTGACAGGCATGTAGCCACATAGTAAAATAACAGATCTGAATCCCCACCCCCCCTGACATTTACTTGAGTCCCTAATTGGTGAAATCTACCAAAATCTATTTCTCCATTATAGCTGTGCCTGCTTCTTCTCTCATGTTTGTCTCTTTTCTGAAGGAACCCGAACAGGAGGACGACTTGGGCAGTTACTATAGTGAGGACTGGCTCGCAGAGCTGGTACAGGAGTTTGTCGGGCAGCTGGAGGCCTCTCCGGGAACCTTCGACCTGGACATGGAGAACTTCACAGCCACGCTGAATGAGTGCATCACCACGGAGGAGACCCTGCAGGAGCTGGTGAGGCTCATATACATGCAGGTACGGTCCAGGCAGGAGGTCCCGTCCCTGGGAGGAACCACCGATCTGACTGTCCTAACCGTCAAACTCTCTTTTGATAGGCTATGTCTATCCCAAACTTTGCCTACACTGGGGCACGACTCTGCAACTACCTGTCTCATCATCTGCTCATCAGTCCTTCAAGTGGGAATTTCCGGCAGCTTCTCTTGGAAAGGTGCCCCCGCTAGCAGTAGTCTTACTTTTCATCCTCCATTACCTTCACAAGCTAATCTGCTCGGCGTGCTTCTGGTGGCAGGTGCCACACGGAGTACAAGGCGCGAGATGAGGCCATGAAGGGAAGCGAGGAGGTGCAGAAGGCCTTCCACTCCTACGTGCTCTTCCTGGGCGAGCTCTACCTGAACCTGGAGGTGAGGACCGCCTGGGCTGTGTCCATGCTGTGTCTGCTCTTGGAGACACCTCTGCCTCATGAAGTTTGACCATGAGCCCCTTGGCCTCAGATCAGAGGATCACAGAAACGCGCCAAGGTCCTGCTGCCGGCACTGAAAGACCTTCTGCACACACTGCTTAACAACCCCATGGATGGAAACCTCATGTGCACTGTGAAGCTGCTTAAGGTACGGGGGATTCAGCCCAGCGTAGCACAGTCCCTGATAGCGAGGCAGCACCGTGAGGAATTTAGTAGTGGGTATATGAGATTCGGGTTGTGCCACCGTTTGCTTTGACCTACAGGAGGCTCTGGTGGTCTTACCAGGCCTTCAGGGACCTCCAGCGGAATCTGCCCATCCCCTGTCTCTCTGCTGTCTCTCCAGCTCACTGGCTCTGTGCTGGAGGATGACTGGAAGGAGAATGGGGAGACCACCATGGAAGACCTCATCACAAAAATAAGAAGCATTCAGCTGGATGTCAAATGCGGCAGGTTAGAGGGCCGTAGCACCTGCTATCCACAAGGGGGCGCTCAAACATAGCTGTGTGGGCTCAGTGAACTGTTCTCTTCCACATTCTCTCAGAGATGTGAAGGAGATGCTGTTGAGTCTGTTGGAGCTGAGGTCCAGTAACTGGGGCCGGGTCTACTCCGGGAGTGCCGCCGTAGAGGCCACGCCTGATAACGACCCAAACTACTTCATGGTGAGGAGGCCGTTAACGCAGGGCACTGGGGGGGGGGGGGGGGTTTGTTAGGCGGGCTCCTGAGTGATGCTCACTCCCACACGCATGTGCATCTCCGTGTCTTCCCTCAGAACGAGCCCACGTTCTACACGCCAGATGGCACGCCCTTCACGGCTGCAGATCCGGGTCAGTACGCGGAGACCAGGCGCTCGCTGGTCCAGAGCCCAAGTCCGCTCAGTCCTCACTGTCCTGCCTCTTGTGCACCCTTTCCTTCTAGAATATTCTGAGCACTACCAAGACATACTGGATAGGGAAGCCTACTGCCCGGACATCTGTGAGGAGAACGGCACCGAGGGGTAAGCTGCCCCCCCCCCTCACCGCCTCCCCCCCCCCCCCCCCAGGGCATTAATCCATGAATCCTTCCAGCTGTGTGCCTGGCCCAGTGGTACTGTGTTTACTGGACAAAGAGCTTCTGCAGTCCATGGAAGGGAGATGCATGTCCTTGTTATTGCTGCATAATAGGGCATGTTGTTCACCCATGTAGCCACAAGGGGAGCTGTTGAACGATTCTAGTGACATTTTTTTTTTTTGTTTAGAAGTGTATCCCTTAGCATTAATTGTTTTGTTTGACATTAATTTAATAAATTGAATGGGTCTTGCTTGTTTTCAGGTACCCCGAGGAAGACGATGAAATGGATCCCGAGATGGTAGAAGCTTATGAGAAGTTCTGCTTGGAGTCTGAGGAGGCAATAAGGAGGAGGAGGCAGTGAGGAAGAGGATGAGGCACCTAAGCTTGAGCCTAGACTGGCTGGGCCATCTTTCCTGTGTGTGTTGATCTGCCTGGATGTGCTGATGCGGTGTTTAACACAAAGAATAAGGACAATGAGGCTTCAATTTTAGCTAAGTTCCTGATATTAAAAAAATATGTTTCTTAGTTTACGCACGCTGCGGCCCTGCCGCGCTCTCCGCCGGGGGGGTGGTTTCGCAGAGCGCTATGCATTGGGCGATGACATCGCGGGGCTCCTTGCCTGTGTCCTTTGTTGTAGATCTGTTGTCGCAAACGTACAGACAGATCAGCACAGCTGGCAAAGGGCCAGCTTGTACAAAAGAAAAAATGAATAAAAAAGACGAGAAAGAAGAACAAGAGAGCAGCCGGGCCGAAGGGAAGGCAGACGAGTGCCGCTCCCCTTCTGGGCCTGTACCCCCCCCACCCCCACCCCCGTGTTTCATTGAAGGGTTTTTTTTTTTTTAATTTCTTGACCCAAAGCACAGACTGGTGTGACCTGATTGTAAACGTTGTCGACAAAGATACAGGCTGGCTGAGGAAAGGCGAACACAGCCAGGACGTTCAGGAAGTAGCAGTACAGGAAGTACGTCTCGGATACATACGTATATACATACATGTGTATATATATGTGTATATATACACGCACACTGGCACCTTATGCAATAAAATTGTGGTGCAGAGCGGCCATGAACACCCTCTAACGGCCCTGGGATTCCCCCCCCCCCCCTTTGGCTGTGTTCCCATTCTGGTGGGTGAAGGGCTTGTTTGACACCACTAAGAGCATCCGCTGTGGTGTTCGGTCTGCGAGCCAGCGCATCATAAACTTCTTGGAGGGTCACACGTTAAGAGTTCTGCTCTTTGCTTTAACTTGCATGTTGTTTCAAGTGTGAGAACATTTTATTTTTAAAACCATAAAATGCGTTGGAATGGTTAAGCTGTTTTCTCCCCTTATTCCGGCAGTTTTGTACTATTTTTGTAGAAACATAGACGTAAGAGAATTAATAAAGGTGAGAGCACATACTGTCCTTCCGAGTCCCTCTGCCTGCTTTCTTCGCAAGCTGTTTTCAGAGGATAGCCACGGAACATTCCAGGGCCATTGAAAGTGGGATCAAAGGTCAGGGGTCATTGTCAGCAGAGGGGTTTACAATGAGGCGTCTGCACCCGGCACTCTCATAGAGTGTCCATGCTAACAGTGAACCATGTGGTCAGGGGAAAGTGGGGGGGGGGGTGCCGCTTTGGTCAGTGGTGAATCTGTGCCCTCAGTAGGACACCTGGCCCCTGCAGGCAGGTCAAAGGTCACGGAGAGTATGCTGCAGGTGCAGGGTTATCCACTCGACCCGACATGCAAACGTCACGTGTCCGGTGTGTGGCCAAAAGGGAAGCCGACACACATACCTCTGACGGTCTAATCACCACCTCTCCTTGTTCTCTGCCCTGGCACTGAATAAGCAGGGGTTGATGGGAAGGGTCTGGGCCCTTACATCTGCAGAATAAAGGGCCGGGTGGAATGACAGGTTTTATGGAGGCAGATTGGGGTGATTTTAGCTCCAGCTGAGAGGGCAGTGAGGGTAAATGTGCCAGGTGAGCCTGTTCTTGGTGACTCGGCACTTTCAGGGTAACCCTGAGCTGGATATGAACCCCAAAGATGGCTCTGAGGAATGTGCTTGGAGATCCATCCCAGAGAGACAGAGAGCTGGACGGCCTGGCCGCTCTGCCTTGGGGCATTCAGCTGGCCTCCCTACACGTCAGCCTGCTGCTCTGGTGACCTTTACTCCTAGTTGCCCATCAGTATCCACCCCTGGGCCATGCAGGGGCACTATAATGTTCCCTTGTGGGAGGGGGGGAGAGGATCCCCTGGAGCTCTTTCTGCTTTTTGCAGGTGCCCACACTGGACAGCCACCCAGGGAGCTAAGGGGTTAAGGGTCTCGCTCAAGGAGCCACAGGTGTGCTAAGGCTGGGCTTGAACCAGCAACCATCTGACCACAGGTACGGAGGCTTAGCCCACTGAGCCACACAGTGGAACGAGCCCCTGGAGCTCAGGACAGATTTGCAGGCAGGCTGACGGGGGCCTGGCCACCTGGGCATACTATTCCTCTCACGGAGCCCCTGCAGGGATGGGGGGCAGCCCCTCCCATCTGCTGTCTATTAGCTAGCTGACACCTTTTGCCCGGAGCGGCTGTGCAGTGTGGGGTACATACCAGGGCTGTGCAGAGACTTTTCCAGGGGCAGGTGCTCCACTGGGGAGGGGTTGGGGGGGAGGCTCTCCAAAAATCAAAACAAAGTTTGTACTAAATCACTGCTGGAAAAGGGGCACTCAGGACCTCAACTTCACATCCTCGGTCTCACGGTCTCAGGCCAATAGGGAGCAGAAGCTCAGGCTCCCTCACACGTCCCTGGTCCATACCCCTTATTCCCTGCCATTTCGGGTCATGTGCCCCCCCCCAGTCTGACGCCTCTGTGGGTTTCCCCCACCTTGCAGCTTTCATGTTTCCCCCCGGGCCTCCCCACGTGTTCCCGCTTATGGCTCCCCCTCCTGGAATGCGGGCCGAGTGCAGCTGTGCGGTCTAGTCCGGACCACATGTGCCACGTTCTGCAGAACCCCTTCCCTCTGTTTTAGAAGCTGTAGCACAGACAAGCTCATGTGAAGCCCTACAGCAGCTACACCGCCACGGTGGCTGCCTATGACCTGGGTGGACCGGTCCTGCTTGTACATAGAGCCTCTTCCAGTTTATCACCTGTTCCTGCTACTGCACGCAGAGTGATGTGTGTGTTGAGCAAAGCGTGTGTTGAGTGCATCCAAGCCAGAGCTAAGTGTCTGTCCTCCAAGGCACCACCCCTCTCAGCCACACACAGCGGGTGAAACAGGAAACAGCAGGGAAGCCACCCTGCCTTAAGGTGCAGATCCTAACCACGCTCGACGGTGGCATGGTGAGACAGGCCTGGGCCATGGCATGAAATCTGTGTCTAATCACACCGGTACACAGGCCCCCTCTCCCCCCACCCTCTGCCCACGCCTCCTGCTCAGAGCGAGCTTACAGATGTGAGCACCTCAGCTAGGTGATGTTCCAAACATTGGTGAGAGCACCCAGATTAAACTGGAGTATAAATTAGTAAACATGAGCACATTGAGTGTTGGTGAGCCTGTGGCAGCAGGGGAGGATTGCGAATTGGTGGTCTCACGGTCTCAGCCGGCCAAGTGACGGAATCTTTGCTGCGGATCCTCTCAGCCGTTCCTCACNGGTGGCAGCAGGGGAGGATTGCGAATTGGTGGTCTCACGGTCTCAGCCGGCCAAGTGACGGAATCTTTGCTGCGGATCCTCTCAGCCGTTCCTCACCGCGTTCCCGCAAGGAGCTGGACAGGAGTGCAGCCAAACGGACGCCTTTAAAGAGGCCTTTGGTGTAACAAGAGGCCCAAGACCCCCCACCCCGTGAAGCCAGTCTCCAGATGTGTCTCCAGATGTATTTACCTTCAGCCATGTTTCTCCATGCTTCCCAATAAGGGAAAACTCTCTCTGTGTCTCAGTTTTATTCCTCTCAATCATCTTTCATTTCAAGGTTATCTCTGAAATTCTCGCTGCATGTTCAATGCTGTAACATGTTAACACATGTCTTTTGGTCCTGTCTCTTTATGATCCTCCAATGAGGGAGAGTGGTATAGAGTTTCAGCCCCCCCTCGCTCCAGCCCTTGTTTGCAGTCTCTCATCAGATAGCGGTTGGACTCAGTGCTGGCATGCCAGAACCTTCTGTAGATCCTCCCTCCCTTATCCTCCTGATCCTCTTTGGAATTCGTCCTGAACTCCCGGTCCGATGAGCCCCTCACCGCAGACCCTCTTCCTACTCCTGCTCTGGACACACGGCCCAGTTCTATCTGCAGTCCGGCATGGGCTGCCCATCCAGGAAGATCGACTTCCTAGTGAAGTGGCGGGCCCGGCGCCCAGCCTGTCTCCTGAGCTGGCCTTCCTAGTGGACGCGGTGGGTCAGAACCGCCTGTGGCTGATTGTAGCCCCTTCGCGCTCAGACTCCTATTTGCGTATGATGGAGCAGCAGATCCAGGACATGGAGGCGGAGGGCCTGAACTGCCGTCTGGCGGCCAGGGACACAGTCATCCTCACCATCATCCAGAACGCCATGATGGAGGGCACCCTGCGCCGCCACAGCTCCCAGGGCACCTCCACCGAGGAGACTTTGGATCCAGAGACGGTCAGCAGGCTTCTCCACCACCTGCAGGTCCCAGAGCAGACCTTCTGCATGGTCATCCTGAAGAAGAACCTGCAGGAGAGCGTCCGGTTCCCCTACCCAGTGAGGGTGCAGGCCGTGCTGGAGGCCATCGACCAAATGCCCCTGCGCAAGCTGGAGCGCCTCACTGGCAAGGCGCCTCCGGTCAAGTGCAAGGTCTCCAAGAAAAAGGGGCAACTGAAGAAGAAGGTGCAGGGTCGGGGCTTCAGCGCCCTCCGGGGGAGAAATCTCACCGTGGTGGCTAGACAGCGCAAACCCCTGGACAGGAAATCTGCCCTGAGGAGCAAGGTACAGGACATCCTCAGAGGCCAGTCCCGGTTTGTGATCCGCAAGGGCTCCCCCCGGCCCAAAGTCCTGCCTGGCCCCACCCAGCAGCCGGTCGGCGAGACAGCCACCCGCAAGGACAGTGCCTCCTGGCGTTCGGAGGGCAATATGAATGGCAACAACCAGGGAGGTAAAGGGGCTCAGAAGAGAGATGGGGTGAACTCTGCGGAGCGTTCTGGGACAGAAAGAAGTTCTGCAAAGTCCACAAAAAAAGGCAAAGGAAAGAAGGAGAGGAAGAAGAAGAAAGAAAAGGGAAGAGGGAGAAAATTAGAGCAGAATGCAACAGAGAAAGAAAGAAAAGTGCTGAGGGCATATTTGGAGAAACACAGAGAGAGAAGGCGGCTTCTGGTGAGTTCATGCTCCTCCTCCACACCGCCCGGCCAACCACAAACACGTGAAACAGAAAGGCAGACTTAGCCGCTCGCTTGCTGTGTTCTGTTTAAGCTGGCTGGGCTAATAATCATACCCATGTGACCGTTTTACTGAGACCATACCAGTTTGTATATGAGCTTTAATGGCAGGGCAGCTCTTTAAGCACCACGCCCCCTACTGGCTATACTGGATATGTGGCTCTCTCCAGGTGATCGGTGCCCCCAGTAAAGAGGCTCCACAGTACATCCAGCAGAGGTCAGAGACTGAGAAGCATGGCTGTGAGCTGGGTCTGAGGAATGTATCCGTGGTAACGGTCCTGGGTGATGCCACTGTGTCCCTGCAGCACTGTATTCCCGGTATGCCTGACTCTCTCACACTGGCTGCTGACTGGCGTGCTTTCAGTTAAATGTTCTGCTGAAGGCTGCCCTGTGTGTTCATCGCAGAGGCGGAGTCCTGTCAACAGCAGGCCTCTGAGGAATCCACCAATCAGGAGCTTATCTCGCAGCTGCGCGGGGAGTACGCCTTGCTGCCGGAGACCTTCCACGTGGTGCTAACTGACTATGACCTCAAGCCAACGGTAGGTTCCTCTCTGCTTCCCCGATTCTGTCTTTCCCCAGGTTCTATTCAGTATTATTTGACAAACTCGTAACGGCAGTTACACCTGTGAGAATCAGACTGCGCAGCTCCAAGTTCAGTCACGCTTAAGCATGACGCTGGTCCACTGTATCCCTTCTGTCTACTAAAGTTCTCCAACCACCTTACAGAAGGGTTTTGACAGCCCGGTGACCGGGACCGTCCTGATGGACCACGTGGATGCCCTCCCGTCAAGACAGGCTGAGCTGGGCAGGGGCAGGACGGCCTACAGGTCCTGCCCCCGCTCCCAGGACCAGGACGAAAGTGACAAGTCTTTGCTGAGGTGATTTTGGTTTGGGAGCGGGATCAGGACACCTTAAGTCCTTCACACACTGGAAGACACTGAGCTCTCAGTCACAAGTCCAGTTACCGTCAAGGCCTGTCATCCTGCTTAACGAGCTCACTAAGGCTTGATGATTTGTGTGGCCCCCAGGTTTGTGTCTAAGAGGAGGCTTCTGATCATCTCTGCCCCCTCAGAGGATGACTACTCATTCCAGCAGCAGCTGCAGGCCCTGGACGGACAGGCCTGCCCTCTGGGTACGAGACCCTGACTTGACGTGCAGCATGCTCGCATTTCTGCGCTGAGTTGCCATGCCCAGCAAAATATGGCACGTCTGACCACAAAATCTCTAATTTGTTACTAAAAAAAAACTATGTCACACATTTAAACTGAAGTTAAAACACTTTACAAAATCTAAGACCATTAAAATTGTCACGGGCATATTGTCAGTTTCGAGGCTATCATCTGATATCGTTTTTCTTTTATCTCGAGAAGTTTAGCGATCTGGTGGGGAGATGTTTAGTCCGGAGAATCTCAGGATCATGTGGCTTTTACTCTAATGTTCCACAGTAATCTTCCACCACCACCAAGCAGAGCTCTGCTGCAGTGACGTGTCTTTCTTTTGCTCAGGAATACGGCATTTTGCGTTGCTAAAGCTGGTTGGTGAAGGACCCTCAGCTTCTGGCTTTGTGGAGCTCTTTCCACTAAACGGTGAGCCATCCATGTGTCAGAGACACCCACTTTTGCTCCCTCACGCCTATGCAAGCGGTTGCACTCTCTGCAGCTGCAACATCACGGGATGCCCCCTGTCTGTCTCCCTCCCCAGGGAAAAGCCAGACGGAGGTGGAGCGGCTCTCCACGGATTCGGTGAACGGGCTTCGCGAACAGCTGAAAATCAGCCGGGACTACTTCAGCATGGCAGTGGTGGGCAAAGGCGGTGATGTGAGCGCTTGGTTTCCCACCCCTATGTGGTCGATGGCCAGCATCTATGACCTTGTGGACTCTACAGAGTTGCGACAGCAGGAACAGAAACTGCAAGTCACCCTGGGAATCGTGTGCCCAGAAGATAATGGTGGCAGAACTGAGGACATCGGTGAAGAGAACTACCTCTACAGCAGGTCAGAAGACTGAGGGTGCACCAGTGACTCAGAAGGAGTCTCTCCACTCATCACCAAAGCCACCCAGAGCTATAACTTGGAGAAGGTTTGATGGATGATCAACAGCAAGCAAAGTAGTTAACAACTTAGATTTGGGATCAATGGGTAGGGAGTGAAATCCTACTCAGAGTTTGTAAGAGGTACTTAACCTCACCTGCTAAGTACAAAATCCAGATTTACAGTGGAAAGTCACTGAAAGTGTCACTTTGGATGAAAATGCTGTGTAAATATCATTTGCGGAAATGTGAGACTGAGCTGTAGTTATGGTGGGTCGTTAAGGGTGAGATTTACTGGCAGTGTGATTCTGCTGTCCAACCGAATACTTCCTCTGTGTTATTCATTCATTTGAAGCTGTCGGTAGTTTACCGTCAGGGTCAAACAAAGCTTATTCCCCTGAGAATAGTTCCACATCCTTAGAACCTTTTTGCTGTAATTCACATCAGTTTGTTTTCTTCTAAACATGTTATGGTATAGTTAACTAGTTTGTGTACATAAACAAAGTAAGCAGAGTGAATATAGTAAATCATATAACCGTTCATTAAGCTTAAAACATTATATGCAAAGATAATCAAGATTGTATGAACACGAGCATGTCTCCAGATGAATATTGGGCTGAGTGGGTCTGTCCTCACACACAGCATGGAGATGCTGCCCGGCTGCCCCCCCACCCCCCCCCCGCCACAGGCTGGCCACCTGTCCTCATTTCATTAGATTGTAAAAAGTCTGAGATTTTACACTCATCTGTCTCTATTTGTGTATGTCGGTGAGAAACAGCTAAATAAATTAAAGACTTGGCCAGCCCATCCTGTTGGCTCCGCCTACACTGCCCCCCACCCCAATGAACCTTCCCCCATTGCTGGGGTACTCAGGCTGAGACCATGTCCCTGTTGTTTAGCCTTGTACATACACACAGGCAGCTACACACACAGGTTTGTATTCATATCTTTGTGGGGACTTATTTCCACCTTAACCCCTACCCAACCATAACCTTATCCATATGTAACCAAACGAAATACGAGACTTTTGACATTTTTAGTTTTTTGATTGCATCCACAGGTCTTTGCAGGGACCTGAAAAATGGTCAGTCAAAATAACAGTTTTTAAATCACATTTTGGGGTACATTTGGTCCCCACAATGTAATATAAACATATTCCGCACACACACACACACACATAAAGGGAATTCCCTACACTTTGCATGTTTGCCTTTGTTGTGGCTCCTCCCCTCCTGGCTGCACAAGAGTGGTCAATGTCATGCCAAGTTCCTGCTTGTGATTTTCCTGCTATGTAAATGCGCCCCTGCCCACGGTGGGGCACTGACATGCACACTGCGGCTAAGGGCCGCCCAGCTGGGTCTGACATCCAGGAGCTCCTCCCTCAGGTCATGTACAGACTCTTTCACCCCTAAATAGGAGTAGTGTGGGTATTTGATTTTTATAAGAGAGAGAGTACTACATTTGAGTAGAGTGAGAATTCAAGGGCTCTCATTTTCTGCTCAGATCGGATTTTTTGTTTGCCTGTTCACATTACTCTTTTTAATGTGGGCAATATCAGATTACAATGTGAACGGTTCACTATACTGAACTGGCGCGCGTGCGCACAAAACAACAAAGACGCAATGACGCGCATGCGCAAAAACAAAGACGTCACTATTGATTGGAAAACTGCCTGGTTACGATATGAGCCTTCCAGTTTTGCTTGAATATTTTTCTCGTACACACTCATAATAAACAATGAGTTTGTAAATGTTTGTTGAATAAACACAACATTTATAAAATCATAAACACCAATCATAAAGACCAAGCCTATATCTAATTAATTAAATTAATGAATCTAGGCAGCTAATTAAACCCTCACATTACAGTATAGACTAAGTGAAGTTGATTCAAAGCTTTAATATGACATGCATAGCCTGCTTACATGCAGTGGAAAACTAATGACTGGTTCTCCACATATACACACATATACACTTACCACACAGACTTAATAAAAAAAAATCTTGCTAAAATAATAAAAGAACACTATAATTCAGCATGTGCACTAAAACATACGTACGTACAAATTAAGACGCTGTCTAAAAGACGATCTATATCTAATTTAAACTAGACATGGAGCAGACAGTGCGCAACGCTTTCCATCCATCCATCCATCCATTGTCCAACCCGCTTATCCTACTGGGTCGCGGGGGGTCCGCAGCCTATCCCGGAAGCAACGGGCACGGGCCAGCTCGAACGCAGGTCCCAGAGGTACGAGGCAACAGTGCTAACCACTGCACCACCATGCCGCCCCCGCAACACTTTCATGCTGCTATGTTTTATGTACTGCAAGTGTGTGAGCACGTCTCATTAGGAAGGTATATACAGTGTAATATATTATAAATACCTGCTTAACTCCTGCTGTTATTAGTACCGCGGGTGTGTTTTGGATCATGTTGGAAGGCGTGCCACTGCCAGAGCTTTTAGCCAATGACACGTCAATAAGCAGCACGCACAGGGTAGTGCTGTGTCGGGATGCGTTCAGGGGCACTCGGAAATTACAGTTTTCCGCTCAAATCTTTGCCCGATCTCCTCATTGGTATATTTTAATGTTTTCCATTTCCTGCGGGGTGGCACTGGGGGTGGCAAGGGCTCTGTTGGGGGTGGCAATTAATTACCCCTGCCACCCCTTTGGCTCCGCCCCTGCGTAAAAGTCGCATGAATTCCGATTTCGCTGTTCAGACTGAGCTCGCATTGCAAAAAAATCAGACCTGTATCCGATTTATGACCACGTATTGAAGTGGCCCAAACCGGAATTGAAAAATCGGATTACATTTGACTTGTGCTGTTCACATGGTCATGAAAAAATGCGATCTGAGTGACATATGAGCAAAAAAAAATCGAATTTGGGCCACATTTGTCCTGCAATGTGAACGTGGCCAAACAGATTCAGTACTGCATTCAAGTACTTCATCACACTGAATACTGCATTTGAGCACAGCAAATACAGAGTAGTGAGAGTACTCCGTTCTACAAGAGTGAGTACTCTGTTTTATGAGACCAGTATTGATTTTGAGCGCAGCTAATGCTATGAGAGAGAAGTATAAGTACTCTGTCCCGCAGCAGCTGCAGCATATTCAGTCTCACACAGCCGCTGCAGTTGTTTCACACGCGGGTTCTGCACTGTGCGGGACAATGCGCGCTGAGCTTTGTCCCTAAGCTGAGTACGAGTAGCTAGCTTGCTGCCTCAGTCTGTACTCAGCCCCTGCTGTTTATCGCCAAGCTGTTAATGTAACACTATTCTGAGAGCAGCAGATCTAGAGATTGCGACTGTGCCTCTCACTCACATATGTGTGCATGCAGTTGTTCAACTCAGTGTTGACCGGGACATTCTCCCACCACCAGCCCCCCACCCCTCTCACCCCGTTCAGGGGGTGGGAACAGACTTTGCAAGAAATAGGCAAATCGTGATGGTGATGAAGAAAGACAGCTTCCTGCGATGAGAGTCAGGTCCGTCTGACGCGACAAGGGGGAAGTGGATGTGTCACATCACAGAGGCAGCACGCACGCACACAGGCACACAAGTGCACACTCACGCCAGGCTGCTGGGGACTTCACTAGACATGGTGAGTACGCTGCCGCCTGCCACCGCTCTGCGCTCGCTCTGTTGTGACAAGCCAGCGGCCGCCCCTCCAGAACGGGATGTCACTATGCATTAGCGCCGGTGAGCTGACATGTGGATGTGGCTGGTGACAGTGCCAAGGAACCTGAGAGTAGCGAGAGAGTAGCTGTTGTCTCTCTGCTGAAGGGGGACGTGGAAAGAACGAACCCGCTGGCTTGAATTTAAACATCTCAGAGTCTGGACTTCAAATGAGCTACATGGCTGACTTTGCGGCTGGATTGTGAAAGACAAGCTGTTTTCACCCTGCAGAGAAATGCAGTTCCTCTTTGCTACTTTTCATTTAGATTTGCCATTTTCCCTCCTCTGTTTTCTCATCCATGTCTCAGTTTTCCTGGACGCTTTAAGCCCGGGGCAAATCCAGCATCCAATTAGAGCAAGCCTCTCGTGGATCCAGTGTCGTTTCTAATCATGAGTGGTTGTTCCAGGCATGGTGAGCTGGGACGGGTCGGCAGTGGGACCCCTATACGGGGTGTGCTCTTGCACGAGGAGGTCAGCTGACTGCTCGGGGAGGACGGGTCCCTGGGTGGTGCTGCTGGCAGGTCTCGATAGCAATAAAACACCGACGGCTCCGTGATCCAAAATGCCTGCCAAGTGTAGGACCTCGGCTGCAGTAAAACTCTCATTTTGTTAACCAGTGCTTTAAGCAGTCTCCAGTTATTAATTTAGGGTTTTTTTCAGGAAGCTGCTTGTGTTGAGTGTGGGGGGCTGTTTATATGATGGAGTGTTGCTCTCTAAGACCACATAACCACAGCTATCTGCTAACAAAAAGGCTTTTGTAGTATTTTTGACATGAGCTCACACTGTAGTTGTCACACAGGAACCATCCGGTCCTCGAGCTGCGGGCATGTCTTACATAGCATGTCAAGCTACAGTAGTGTCCATGTCCAAACCTGTCTGTATATAGCCAAGTCTATGAGGAACTGCAAGACTCATTAAACCTGGACGTTCATGTATCAGCCATGTTACCTTGATAATCGCCGCAGAGATAATCAGGAGCTGGGTGTAGGTGTGATACCAGAGGTGGATTTTCAGCATCAAGTGTCCATTTGTTTGGGGAAGGGGGGGCATTGGCTTGTGGCTGGGATGGGGACAGCTGTCAGCAGCTGCCGCTGGCACTGGATCAGGCGGGGATCCCAGTGATCTGCTCAGTATAGGATTGGGATGATCCTTTAGGGGTCTCTGTAACACAGAACAGTCACCACAGAGGCATCTTCAGAGAGTCACCATGTTTAGTCTGTCGACGTATGAAGCTCTGGCCACTACACGCCCATCCATGTGCTTTAAGCTGGCCTGACAAGGACGCACTGCGATACTTGGCCTTTTTGTGATAGGGAACAGTGTTGCAGTGAAATCCTTCATTTTCCAGAAGAAGTTCGAGTCTTTCATCCAGGTTGAGATGCTGCAAGCAGAGTGATTGTAACCGGCTCTGGTCTTCAAGGACCAAGCAAATTATTTCCATAACACCCTTAACATCATTTGCATGAACCCAGCAGATGCAAAGTCACTGCCAAAGTACAACATGTGACCCCTTTTCCAGTCACTGATCGACGGATTCGTGTTCTCCCTGTCTGATTCCGTGAGCTGCAGACAGGACAGTATGTTTGCTTAATGCTGTGTGCTGTACTCTCTCCCTGCACCATAATGGCTGGTGTACACCCCAGAGTCAGTGGTCAGATGCACCATTCACACATGCTCTGTCATTGCTTGTAAGCTCAGTTTTTCACGTCAGGGAATCGTAGGGCATTACCCAATGCGGCTGATCTTTGCGATAAATGGGGTCCCTGAGACGTAACTCATTAACCACGTGATATAAATGAAGGAACAAAAGGAGTTGACATAGTGATTAAATACTCATGAGGGAATTAACTACCTGTACAAACAGAAGATCTGCGGAGAGCTGTGTGGAAGTTCCACCAGTGTCTCCTCTGCTGAACTTTTCTCCTTTTTTCAGTCACAGACAGATGACAGTGGGTGGGGGGGGGGGGGTCAGTTGTCAATCTGTACAAACAGCAAAAAGACACCAGCAGGGGTGATTGTAGCTATTGAAAAGATCAGGGGTTCAGTCAAATTTACCCGGGGCTTGACTTTTTTTTTTTTTGAAGGAAGATTGGCATCAGGGCTAAAATACTTGGGGCTGTATCCATAACTGGATAGGCTAACCAGGCCTTTCTAAACTGAAATGCTTCTGTGTATTTGCTTAGCAGACAACGTCACTGAAGTTTGCTGTTTGTCTAACCTGCTCCCTCGCAGGCCTTGACCGCCTCAGGACAGGGACACCTTGCATCATGAAGTGTCTTTCTGTGCTGAGTACATCCCAGAACACTGGCATGCAGTGACACTGTGTCCCATGTGATACGGAGCTGCAGGCGACTCGTCTTTGCTGCATGATTTCTTGATCTGCAATCTGCTGTGGCGATTTCTGATCCGTGTGTGTTGTTTCGTAATTCACTATGTGGATTTGTGGCCCTTAATTCATGACCCACGATTCCTATTCGTGATCCAGGGCGATCCAGTGCGTTCAGATCAGAGCTGTTAAGCTATGGCGGAGCAGGGAAAGTACAGCGTTGAGAAATCCCTCACATGCTGTAATTTCCTCCCTTCTCACCCTCGCTGTTATATTGCAGCTCTCTGTCACACCTCCTCTCAGCCCCCCCCCCCCCCCCCCAGCAGTCTCTGAAGGCGTGTCTCTGGCGAGCCTCACTCTGCCAGTCTTGGTCGACCCCAAGCAATTCCACAGCGCTGAATATCATTTGGTCCACTCAAGAAAATTTGCATCTGGTCACATGAGTGGCAAGGGGAAGCCAGCTGTCACGGATATGTCCCTCCATGACAGGCCAGTCCCCGGTCAGGCAAGGTAACAGGAAGGACTGTGGCTAATGAACATGGGTGACGGCAGTGTGACATCACAGAGGCTGATGGCCATGTCAGCCCTCACCCCCCAAGCTGCCCACCCCCAAACCCACGAAGGATTAGACGGGTAGTAACTTCTTCCTTTCTGTCCTTGTGCCATTCTGAGCGACTGCCTCTGCCTGCAGGCTCATACACTCTCCGCATGCTGGGGGGGGGTATACCGCCCCCACCCCTTCACCTGTCCCCGCGTACTTGCTCGCCTCCGAGTGGCATGTTTTCTGGTGGCCCTGTCATGTTTATTTTTAGAGAATGTTTCAAAAGCCCTATCTTTTCCTGAGCTCATGCGCTAAAGCAGCTTCCTCCTTGTCTGTCAGCCCATAGCTGGGCAGCCTTTATCTCCCCCCCCCCCGGCCCCATATTATCAGTACAGGAAGACGTGCATGCAGACACCCCCCACACAGTCGGTGTCCATTGTACCATACATCACTTCCTGTTTAGATCAATTCCATTATATTATTCTTGCTCTTCCTGTGTAGCACTGATGTGCCAGTGACAAGCTAGGCGACGGACATCAGAACTGGGTGCAGAGTGTGTATTGACAGTTAGCCTTCGTAGATTAGTGTTGCGCTTCTGTCTTCTCCACAGAGTTAAGGTGAGCCCTTTTCAAATGTCTTTCCCCTCTCCTGGCAAATCTCCTGTTTCTGAAAGGCTGGGGGACTCCATCTTTGAGGAGTAACCGACCAGGTTACCTGGAGGATTGTTCTCGAATGTTGCTCTGGCTTCCTCTCAGCCTGTTGTGTGTCTGCAGGAGACCAAGCCGGACGTGAAGGCCATCATGGCACGCTTCAACGCACCCAACAATGGTTCCACGGAGGCAGCGACGGGGGGGCATCCCACGCTACACCATACCTTCTCCTCAGGAGGGTCCAGCCAGCCTAAGAGGACAGCGCTAGAAAGCACCCTGTCGGGGAACACGACTGGCCTGAAGACCAACGTCAGGAGGAACACAGACTCCTCCCAGAGCACCCCGGAAACACACGAGTTCCCCCGATCCAAAGTGCCACCGGCCAAGCCTGGAGGGGGCTCGGAGGACGGGAAGCCCACCTTCCCCAAGCCCCACACCTTCAAGCCCAAGACCTCAGAGACGGCTACAGATGGTGAACCCAAACCCCCCCTACCCAAACCGATTTCACTGAAGCCAGTGCTCACTGCCACCCTGTCCGACCCCAAGATGTCCACCCCCAAACATCCCTCTGTCATGACCAAGCCCCCCTGGAAGGATAGTGCCAAGCCAGAGGACAGCAGCAGCAGTGGCCCGGTTGCAGCCAAGCCGCTGCCCGCCAACAAGCCCAAGAGCACCTTAGGGGTTTTGCGCTCACAGGCGGAAGACACGTCAACACCAGACTCGGGCTCCAAGCCCCACCCGTTGTCTAACCTGAAACCCACAGGCTTTCGGGCCGCCCAGAGCGCCTTCAACAAGGAGAACACCGAGGAAGCGCCCCGTGAAGGGCCCAGACCCCAGAGCTCCAACGATGCACCGGGACCCAAGTCACCAGCCGCCAAGAAGCCCAGTTTTGTGAGGAAGACCCAGGCCCAAGCCTCACAAAAAGAGAACAGTGACCCCAATGCACCAAAGAAGAACCCCCTTCCCAACATTTTTGCTCTGGGGACCCCCCCGGCCAAGCCAAACAGACCGCCAAAAATCAGCCTGGAGAAGTTCAAGAAGGCTGGCGAACCCAGTAGTGAAGGTAAGGTGTGTGTGGGCCAGCCTGTGGCCGTGCAGAGACGCCGCCGTCTGCTGAGGTAAAGAGGCGAGCCACTGTCTGCTCAGAATACTGGGACACTTGCTAAATCACAGCTTTTACCTGTTAGCCGACAGCCATGGGGGGCAGGGGCCCCCGGTCCTCTATACGCGAGATGCTGTGAAAAAGTAGAATGTTTGTTTAAGCCAGTTTCTCCCAATTTGGTCCCATCAGGAGCCAGTAGGGAGCCAAAATGTGGCAGGGAGCTGGGAGGGAGCAAAAACGTGGACTGTCTGACAGGGAGCTGGGAGGGAGCAAAAACGTGGACTGTCTGACAGGGAGCTGGGAGGGAGCAAAAACGTGGACTCCCTGCAGGTTCCCAAGGAGCGGGCTGGGTAACACTGGTTTAAGCAGAGTAGCCCTCAGATAAGGCCGGTCGAGCCGCTGTTCAAAGCTTGTAGCGATGACTGTCTAGTTCAAGACTTGACAAAAGTGAAATCAAAAGCAGACCTTGCTCATTATGACACTGGCGTTAGTCATGTAAACCAGTCACTCTGGTTATTATCTGCCCTGGAATCCTACTGATAAAACGTGTAGGTCTTCTCCCAAGCATGGCTATGCTCAGCTTTACTTCATGTGGACAAACTGCAAGGCAGCCAGCAGGCAGAGTGTGGCCAAGCGTGTGGTGAAGAAAAGCACCGATATAAAAGTCATACAGGCAGCCGCACAGACCAGAGCATGAAGGAGAAAGCGACTCCTGCAAGTTCTCACACCCATGCATACCCACATTGTCCACCCTGCCCCAAGACAATGTAGTTTTCCGTGGCTGCACAAGAGCCAATGTTTTTGGGCCTTGCAGGCTGTAGCTTCAGGGTACAGAGGGCTGTGCTGACAGGGCCCGTCCATGGGAAGGACCTCGGGGAAGATAAGCACACAAGCGGCCAGGCCTCTGTTCCTCTTCCCCTGCTCTACTTCCTCTGGCTCTCTTGTTTTCCGTTGCAGTCTCTGGGCTGTGCAGTTCCGCTTAACGTCAGGACAGGGTCCTTGCTGCAGCCTCTCTAAGGCTCAGGTGGCTAACCCCAGGCCGTGTACGCTCTGCCGCTGAAGTTCTGTAAAAAATAAGCAACCTGCAAATCGATGCAATGGTCAGACCCCACCAGTATCAGTGATGGGAATTTGTGAGAGCTTATAAAATGTGCATTATTAAAGTCAAGACTGAAAGGTTCTGAGGCAATGTTTACAGCAGGGACGTGAGCTCAGGTGGTCCCACATTCATACAGGGGTTACTCCGTTGTCATGTACACTGCTTACGGGTGAAAAAGTTCTCCATTCCTTCCAGAAGTTTCACTTGGTCTACACTTGACGACACAAGACCTTACTCAATTAGTGCTTTACACGACCAAGACACAATCTAACGATGAGGTAGAATCACACTGTGCGTGCACGAGGAGCTTAATCTTCTGTATATTTCTGCTAAAAGGTCCAGGCTTGAAGAAACCCGGAGGTCGTCCGCAGCCCCCAGCCTTTCACCCCAGCAGCAATGTGCCCCCACCAGTGCCCGCCCTATCGGCAGCCCCCAGCCTGCCCCCCCGCCCAGGAAATATGTGAGTAACCACACGCACAAGCAGAGACTTAAAAGCGTGTTACTATTTAAACCAAGATGGCACCATGATAGACATCTGCACATGAGAAAACATGTAGCGCATGTTCTGTGTAAAATTAACCTGCTGCAATGTCTCTCACTTCCTGTCTGTCTGTCTGTCTGTCTGTCCTGCCAGCCCCCAGTCAGAGCCAGATGAATATGACGACGTTGGAGGTAAGGCAGGGGTCTGTATGCCCGAGCAGATTAGGGAAGTGGGTACTTTGTACATCCATAGCCCTTCTACAAGAGTGATGTAGGATTTCTATGCCTAAGTGGACTGTGGGATAGGCCAAAATGAACACATGAATGAAAGCAGCATTTAAATAATGCTTTTCAAGACACCCAAAGCGATTTACAGAACCAATGGGGAGCCACATCAAATACCACCACTGTGCAGCACCCAGCTGGATGATGCAACAGCAGCTAAGGTTCACATTCTGCACCGTAGCTAAGGTGACGAAGGGCAGATTTGATGGGGCCAAAATGAGTCATTTTAGCCAGGGCATTGGGGAACCACCCCAGGAAGATTATAGAAGGAGAAATCCTTAGTCTGCAAGCTGTATCAATGCCCAAAAGAAGAGTGTCTCTCACATCATGCATCTCTCTTCCAGGTCACCCAAACCAAAAGCATGAGGTGAGGTATCAGGCAGTTGGATGGGGTCTGTCACAGGAAGGGCTGACGAGTCTCTCAGTGATGCCACCCGAGCTGAAGCCATCATTACCACTGACTGTTACTATTATTGCCTCAGCTTCACTATTCACTTCCGATGCTAAGTACTGTATAGCCACATGCATGACTTGGTATACTAATGGTTATAATATACAGGAATCCTTCCACTGGCCATTTTAGTTAGATTTGATTGGTTTGCATGGTGATCTATAAAGGAGCCTAAGGCTCCGCCCCTTTGCCGTTAGCCCAGCCACCTCTGATACAGCAGGGCGGCGCCGTCCACATTCCTGCCTCATGCCGTTCCCTCTCACGCACACAGGGTAGCGACAGCGACGAGGAGACCTACGAAGACCCCGACAACAGATGGTGAGACAGCCGTGTCGCTTAGGTGCTTCTGAGGAGCAGGGCGAGTTTCTATGATGTCATCAAGCGGCCATTAGCCCAGTGTCGGGTTAAACCTAGTAAAGTATGGGTATTTGACCCAATATCCATCCATCCATCGTCTAACTGTTTATCCTGGTCAGGGGCCTAGAATCTTACGCCAGATTCATTTTTATTTAATTGTTTTGTCACTTATGATTAGGAGTCAATTTTCAACGCATCATTATTAGTGTTATTCACTCATTTCATTTTTAATCAGACTGTTTTTAAATTTTAAACTTTGAGAAAGCCGTTAGTTTGGTCATTTGAAGGCTACTGACTTTATATACCACATGAAGGTGACCACTGAGCTCCTCCACAGGTCATCCGCGGAGGCGAAGGAGAAGAGGCAGGATAAGGAGGACAAAAGGAAGGTGGAGCTGGAGAAGAAGGAGCAGAAGGAGCGAGAGAAGAAAGAACAGGAGATGAGGAAGAAGTTCAAGGTGAGTCTCATGTGTGTGGGCCCTCCACGAGCCCCTCAGGGGACCCCTGGGAATCCCCCCAGGGCCGAGCGGCACTGCAGCTAAAGGGCTCCCCCCTATCCTTTCTGCACAGATTACAGGGCCTGTTAAAGTCATCCACAGGGGCAAGGCCAGAGTGGACTGCAAAGGTGGCAAGACGGACCTGAGTGTGAAGCAGGGCGACCCCATCGAGATCATCCGCATCACAGACAACCCCGAGGGCCGCTGGCTGGGCAGGACGCGGGAAGGCTCCTGTGAGCAGCTGGCTCCGCCCCCTCCTTCCTCCCTGCCTTCCTCTCCTTCCAACTCACCCTCTTCCTCCTTTCCTCACTGCAGATGGTTACATCAAGACCGAGTCAGTGGCGATCGACTTTGACACCCTGAAGCGCCAGGGAGAAGCGGTGACCGGCCAGGCCAACACGGACCAGGAGTTGTACGACGACGTGGGCAGCCAGGACTCCAGGTGGGTCTAGGGCTCCCCTGTGGACGGAAGTGGCTCTCGGGGTGTGGGCTGCCTCAGACATCCAGCAGTTTTAACATTAAACCCGTTCTTTATTTCAGGGTCGTAAGAGGTCCTGGAGGTAAGCTTCAGAAACACTTAAAATGTTTTGGATATAAAAAAAAATGAAAGCTAAACGTAAACATGTCCACAAGACCATAATAAATATGCCAGATCAAAATGGGGTCATTAGCAGAGCGGTGAAAAGACCACCAAAGGCCTTGAATAAAGTGAGACGTCCCTAAACCCCCCCGTCCGTGTTCTCACAGTGGTTCTGCCCCCGCCGCCAGGCGAGGACGGTGACATATACGACGACTTGGACGACCCAGATCTGAACGTCAGGTGAGGTCCTCGCACGGAGCAGCTGTGCCGCTGAGTACCGTGCACGTCCCCGTGTGTAGTCGTCGTTTTTTCACGCCTCTGTGTGCGTGTGCAGACGAGGCTGAGCGCTCATTCTTCAGCCTGTATCACTGTGGTGCCTAAGCCGTAACCCCCCCGCCCCACCCCCGACACCAGCCTACAGGAGTCCAAGATCTCACCCAAAGCCCGGAATCTCCTGAGTGTGTTCAAAGGCTGGGACGACTGGAGGAGAGGCACAGCCAGGAGTAACCAGTAATCCTCACCTTTGCTGGGCATACAACTGACCATTAATCAGCACGCTGTTTCCTCCAAATTCAGCTTCTGCCAAACGGACTCTAATTCATAACTGTTTTAACCGGACCCACTCCCACAGCCAGTGTGATTAACTGTGATTCCACAGGCTTGCCTCAAATTCTGCTGATTTTTCTAATCTTTGATTACTTCAGTGTTATGGGACATTTGATTGTGCTCCACTGTCAATCAGCTTCGGAAATCAAATTGCCCGCTGCTCTCTGCAGATGGTCCCCATATATATCTGTTACAGTGACTTCTTCCTGCCCCCTCGTTAACCTCAGAAACATGCTGCACACAGCATCTGCATGCGTGTTTGAATCCACGTTGCTTTCACAGCGCCATCAATCATCTTGCCCTCAAAATAGCCATGATGAAGATCCTTGGAATACTAACCTAATCTCTTCACCTGGCACTTTCTCTGCTGCATGCTGTGGCAGCTGCTTACCGTGGCTCTTTCTCCTTTGTGTGCTTCCAGAGTCCCACCCCCGCCTCAGTTCACTCCTGAAGAAAACGCAGGTGAGGCCTGGTGACCACGCCCACATGGACTGCTGCTGGAGATTTGGTTCCTGTCTGATGTGTAGAAATGGGCTTCCAGCCCAACTGGGGGATCCAGAGTAACTCATAATTAAAACAACCATCCATCCATCCATCCATCCATCTATCCGTCCATCCATCCATATATCCATTTTTGATACCTGCTTATTAATTCAGCAGAGTACAGAGCAAAATCTAGCAAGCGTTAGACCGGCACTGTGCGAGGGATGCTAGTCCACTTCAGGGCACTGGGACCCTTGATTAGTTCATTGTAGTCCACATGTGCCTCTCATTACTGATATTCAGAACCTGCTGATTCATTGTTGTGTATCATTTTGTCCCCACAAAAAACACAGCATCCTCTGTTGATGAGGTGTATGACGACGTGGACGCCCCCATCCCCGGGTGAGCCGACGCCATCGGGTCCTGCTCTTACCTTCTCAACAGCTCTGTTAAATATAAAATGCTGAAGCGGTTCTGCAGGTCTGAACCAGGCAGGGAGCCGCTGAGTCACTGCCCTCTCTTTCCTCAGCCACGCGGCCAAGCCCAAGGGCAAAGTAGAGGACCCGAAGAAGCAGAAGAAGTTTGAGAAGGAGGAGAAGGAATTTCGGAAGAAGTTCAAAGTGAGTTCTACCAAGCGTGACCTACTGCCCTCGGCTGTGTCCCCCTGAAACCTCACATCTTCTCGGTCCCTTGATTCTGCTTTTTACGGCCCCTGGAAACATTAACGTGACAAGGCAATTTGGTCTTTGCTGTTGGCAGTTTGAAGGAGAGATCCAGGTTCTTGACCACGTGACTGTTTTAACGTCACTCAGCGGGAAAAAGTGGGCGGCCAAAGAGCTGGTGCTTAAACCAGGGGAGACCCTGGATGTCATTGTGAAGGCTGTGGACGGCAAGCTGATCTGCAGGAATGAAGAGGGAAAATGTGAGTCTGAGTTAACTGCTGAGGTCTGAGGTGTTTTTGGAGGTATTACCTACCAGGGGGAAGGGGGATTAGAGAAGATCAGGCCAGTTTAAAATGTAAACTAAACAATGTTTAAAATGCAAACTAAACTAGGTATATAGTACTCCACTGTTACTATAAATCGGTTCCATGTTCATTTCTGAAATAACATACCGTGTTTCTCTCTTTGCTTTGCAGTCGGCTATGTGTCAACAAGCAATGTTGTTATGGAGTAAGTATTTCATCGAAAAGTCAAACATTAACATCAATACAAACATGCTGCTGTAGGTCAGACACAGAGGCCAGTCAGGTTCTCGAGCACCTGCTCATCCACATGGTGCACAGAAACATCACAGCGCTGCCCAAACACCACGACTGACATGACGAAATCTCTCCTCTCTTGCTTTCACAGGGATTCGGACATCTACGATGACATCGGAGATGGTATGCTCTCCGTATATATTTCAGTCCTCTATGGCAGTGTTTCCCAATCCGGTCCTTAGGGACCTGCAGACAGTCCATGTTTTTGCTTCCTCCCAGCTCCCGGTAGGGAGGGAGCAAAAATGTGGACTGTCTAGCTGGGAGGTGGGAAGAAGCAAAAATGCAGACCGTTTGTCGGTCCCCGAGCAGAGGTGATTCTAGGGACTCTGGGGGCCCTAGGCAAAAGAAATCCATGGGGCCCCCCAATTTCCCCTCCCCCAGCATGGTAAAATGTATTACCTTTATTTCAACGTGAATTCCAAATGAACGATATCAACAAAGAGAAATGCAAGTCCTCTATTATCACCTTTGCGATAAACAGAATACACAGATAGTACATTGCAACAACAAATCTGCTCTATCTAATCAGCTGCCCTAAGGGGCCCCCTTAACGTTCAGGGACCCAGCCAGCCGCCTGTCTGTCCTGTCGCTACGCCTCTGTCTCTGAGGACTGGGTTGGGAAACAGTGCTCTACAGGAAAGCACAAGTATGGAATCTTACATGGACATTAATGGATAAAATGCTTGGCGAATCGAGCTGTTACTTTAAGAGCCCCTTAGCAGTGTGGCAATTTCCTTTGAAACACACTGTATGGTTTGTCTGGCTCGATCTTCTGATAGCTCTGCTTTGTTCTTTTGCAGATTGCATCTACGATAATGACTGAAGGGACACTGTCATCCTCTCGCTGTAAAGCGATGTGTGTTTTCTCCGTTTGTCTTTGTAATTGTGTGTAAAGCTGACTGTGTTTACTGCATTACAAGAGGGGGGGGGGGGGGGCGGTGAAAGGGGATCATGCTTCGGAAAGTCCTCATCAGCCATGTGACTGTTCCATCTGCGACTGGCTGATACAACAGAACACGGCCAGAAAAATGAACAAGCAAACCAAAATCTGTGCCCCACTAGCCTGGAAATGCTCCATTCTTTCCAAGAGCTTCCAATAGTTTGGTGCTGAAGAGATGAGGTTCAAAGTCATCAATGTTTTCCATAATACAAACCATCACTCATCCAATATCCAGCCCCAGCCAATATTTTTTTCTCAAAAGCTCCCACATAGGCTCCTGAGCCAATGAGAAGACCCCCTGGATTTACTACAGACACCTCCTTCTCGTCTCCTTCTGCTGCACAAAGGACCTACACCCAGACTGGAGACCAGTCAGACACAAAGCCAGGTATTGGGGGGTTTGAGAACCTTGTAGAACAATCCTCAGCCGACACGAAGCCAGTGGCCAGACTGGGGGGCCAGCGGACTTTAAGAAAAATCTGCCTGTTTAAATTAAAAACCAGAATTCCTGCAGATTGAGTTGCATTTTCACTTTCTAAGCCCCTTTTTAGTTGTCCACCACTTCAGTGCAGATACTGAGAGACATGCACCCTGATCCAGTCCCTTTTTAACCGGGCCTCAGTGTACAAAACCGCTGCGTGTGTTCAGTGTGTGAATGTGCACCCTGTAATCGCATAGCTTGATGAATAAGCAGTATTTTATTTGTGTTTGTTTGCTTGTTCTTCTCCCTCATATGATAATATGTCTTTTTGGCCTTTCATAGATTTCTTTTTGGAATAACGTATATTTTGCTCACCATGAAAAAGGGAGAAATTTACTGCCTATGTTTTATATCTGCCTGTGTGATGTTCCCTGTATTTATGATCATTAAATTTGTCTTATCTCATTTGCAAACAATGAAACACTAACGACCTCAAAGGCTCATCTAGATCCTCCATATGAAATCAGATTTACTGCAGCTTCCTCTATCATTAACTTTGACTGCAGGTTAACTCGCAGCTGCACAGTTTAAACAAACCAGTGTTCATGTGGATGCCAGACACTTCCTCCTGTACATGGGCAAGGCCATTCCTCAGCATTACACCATACCCCAAACATGCAGCTCAACTGCAGTTTGATGGGTACACATTACAAAAAGAGAACAAAAACATCCAAGACCAAGAAAGTCCACTTTGTCAATACTTCCTGTTCACAAAACCTGACAGGCTCCTAAGAGTGTCTTGATGTTTTACAGCATGGTGCTGCTCGTCAGTGGGACTGGCAGTCAAAACAGGAACCACTTGCAGAGATTTTGCTCTGGACAAACTGTCCACGTTTGTGCTTTGTCTTTTCTGTCCTTTTTTTTGTCTGAGAAGGTTTGGCTACATAATCAGATTTACAAACATGGCTATAATGCAGCCATGATGCTGTGGGAAGACCGACACTCCCGTGGATAGTGACGATTCTGGTGCACTTCACGCTCTGATTTGCTCCTTTCTGCTGCATCACGGTGTCTCTTTGTAACCGGAAAAGCCATCTTGTGGGCGTGTCTTTGACTCTGATTGGTCCTCAGTTATGTTGTTGGTGAGCATGCAAAAGAATAACTACACCTATTCTTTGGATAGGAAACGGAACTCCAGTTTGCTGCAAATGAAGTAATAAAAAATTGTGGTAATCTGGGGGTGATATCAGCCATCTGCAGTAGCTATACTTACACTAAGTACTACCCTAATATTCACCTCCTTGCCTGCTTCAGATCATGACCAAGCAGTTTCTGGTCCGAGTCCCAAAAGGATTCATTCTGGTGTGCCTATGTGAAAGTATTTCATTGATCGGTGGCCTGTACTACGAAGCGGGGTTACTGGGTAGCTTGTCGGATTTAAGGTACCACAGTTTAAATGGACTTCATATTCGTTCACTTACATTTTGCCCAGACTACCTGAAATCCAACAAGTTACCCTGATAAGCCAGTAACCCCACGCGGTAGTACAGGGGGTAGTTCCACTCCACAACATTCAAGCGCAATATTTACATTTTTATATTATATACTTTTATCCAAAGACATGTGCCATTGAGAAATCAGGGCCAGTCCCTGGATCAGTTAAAGCCCTTTCTTAAAGGTCCAACGGTGAAATCACTCTTGTCATGGGATTTGAACTGCCAATCTTCCAGTCATGGGCACAGGTAGAGTTGACAATATCCCTCATTTCTTTGGGTTGAAAGTGGTAGCCCTGTCACAGCCAGTGACACCGTATCACATTTTGCCCCTATTATTGGGACACTGTAATTGAGATTACTCTGCATGGTTGAGGTCCGGGGAACCATCAAGCATTGGACTTTTCAACACCCAGGTGAGAGATTTTTTTTGTTTTGCTGCAGTGTGTAGTTTTTCCACTTGGTGTCGCAATAACACACATACCAACAGAGCCAGCGCCCAACCCCGCAACTCACGTAGCTAATGCTATAGAAATCAACGCAAAACTAGAATGGGGCCCTTAATTACTTTGAAGACAGCTAGATGGCGGTATCAGCACCCAGGAAGGCTGGTTACTTTTCGATTATAAATTACATTTTATTAATTAAATACATATTATACCTGATATGACTTTTCAAACAATTTCCACATATTTGTTTCTCACTGAAATTGAAAATATGCCACTACCAAAATGAACGTACTATGTAAGCATTAATATGTGACTCAGGTAGATTCCACTCTCATGTTTCAGTTTTATCATCATGTGTTTTCAGAGAAGAGAGAATTCTTTGTAGAACTGAGAAAAAAATAGCTAACGCAAGGTTTTATGGTGACTTGTCATGGATTTTTGTCAATAAACTTGTAAAACACTGAGTTTAGGTTTAATATTCACAGCTTTTGTTCATATGACTGATATACCTGTTAGATTACTGCATCTAAATGTTCATACTGCAGAAATGCTTTCCAATAACATTCCCTGTGTTCCCGTAAACCCAAATACTTCTCCTGCTTTTGCTGTTCTAGTTTAGCGCTGCGTTATTTCTATGTCCTGCTCGTCCAGAGAGCCCACGCTGGCACGAGGTACGCCCGCACGTACGCGCCGCAGATTTTCTCTCGCGATATTTCGCGATGTTTCCGGTGTTGTGAATGCCCCTGGAAACATGGCGGTCAGCATCCGCGGCCGTCAGATCCGAAGCCTTCGGATGCGAGGTGAGTTGGGGCTGTGCCCCCTTTAACCAGAACCACGCTGGGCGGTGACCGTAGATCCTGATGTGTACCTTGCAGCTTTCAACTGACCTTATGATCTCACTGTAGACGCATTGTGTGTTTTGACAGGTCGGAATGACAGCGGGGAGGAGAACGTACCGCTCGATCTCAGTAGAGGTAAGAGTGACAGTCAAACTGGGGACACTGTAGGGGACTGGAAGGGCCGGCGGACATCTGAGCGTTAGGTTGGTTCCTGCATGCAGCCCCTCTCCGTTCTCACCGTGCCTGACCCTTGGGATCTCAAGCCAGTGATGGATAAATGGTGCGGTCACCTTTCTGATTGTGCTGCCGGGCGGCTTATGGTCCGGGGTAAACCTAGGTAGGAACCGCCTCATGTGCGGGTGCGACGGTTTATATATGTCCTGGGGGATTGGTCCGCGTCTTGGGGAGACTGTTAAGTGCAGTGGAGTTGCGGTCCATATCCGTGTGAAACCCCAGGACCGCCTGGTGTGGGCGGGTCTGTCAGATGCGCCGGCTACGTGAGGGCCCAACGAAGTTTCACCCGTCCGCGATTGGGGGATATTTTTAATGTTATCAGTGCTCTGCTCTTTAAATACCATCGCACAGTGTCACCACTGACTGGTTAGCCACAGCAGGGAATTTATAACTATTTACAGTCATCCTATCAGTAAATTGACTAGTCAGTGTCAGTTACTGGTTTGTCTTCCTTTTGGACAGTGTGTCCAAGTAATCACTCCAGTGTCTGTAAATGACTGTTACTGCAATATTAAAGCACCAAGCTCAGATTGAATTGAACTAAAGCAGCCAATTGGGAGTCAAATCTGGGTATGTGCAATGCGTGCATGCGTGTAGTCCAGGTATACCTTACATTGTGGGGTCCAAATGTCCCCACAATGTAATAACAACCTGTTGTTTTGACCTTGTCAAAGGGTTCCAAACCTGTGACTGCAATGAAAAAATTGAAAATGCCAAAAGGCTTTATTTGGTTAGGTTACTTATGATTGAGGATAAGGCTGAGTAGGGGTTGTTATTTTTGGGATTAGGGTTTTGCCCATAGAAATTAATAGAGTCCCCACAAAGATATGAGTACAGGTCTATGTATGAATGTGTCTTCCTGCACTGCTTACTGGAATGCTGACAATCTGGAGGGAAAGTGAGTAAGGGAGGCTGGTTTGCTGACTGGAAGGGGGGTGGCGGTCGGGGGGGGTGGAGGGGTTGTGTGTGGCAACATAGGGAGAGAAGGAGGACAGATGGGGTCAGCAGGGAAATTAAAGGTGGAATCTTCCTGTAATTTGGTGGGCATGCTGTGACCTGCTTCTCTTCCACTTTCTGTTCCTCACTGTGTCTCCTACATGTCCCACATCTCATTTGTGGAAGGCGCAGCTTTTGTTTTGAGTCTGAAAATTAACCTGCAGCCGTTCCACCTTAAGGATGCTCTTCCTGTATTCGCCTCCTGTTTGTGGCGCACGGTGCAGGCTTGCAGATTGCTGTGTTTAGGGTTTTGACTCGTAAGGTGGACTGATCCACCTTGCGGGTCTTGCTGCTGAATGCACAGTAGCATCCTGATGCGCAGACCTTGCACCTGAAGCATGTGGACCTGTAACCACTGCTTGGTATGTCTCGGCACATGATCCCATGCTCCTTTCCGTGTTCCTGGTGGTTTCCACTGGCTTCTCTGGTGAGATTGGCAGCCTATTTCTCTCTCCAGCTCACCAGCTCAGTTGGGGAGTTTCCACTCAGTGTGGCATGACAGGTGTTGGCATCTATTGGCACCATATAGCAGTAGAGGGGTAGCGGTTAATGACTGACCTTTTAACTGAAACAACTTTGACAGGTCTTTGAATATGAACTAAACAAACCAGTGTTAGTAGAACAGACCCTATGTGGGTGTTGGCTCTGTTAACCGTTCATGGGCTACTGCCTTGGGGCATGACCCTTCCACTCAAATCCTGAATGGGGATGTTAAAAACACTGTCTAATCTGATGGTACCCAGAGCGTGAGGAGCAGACTTGATCCAGCACAGCAGACTCGATGAGTCAGTTGCTGCTACGTGGGTTTCCCTGAAGCCCAGCCTGCAGCGTGCTGGAGAGGCCTCGCATATTTGTGGCATGAGAGTGATTAAACTGTTCCAGGTGAGAGAAGCGACAGAGGGGTCTGGCAGAGCGTCTGTGAATTCATGCCTTAAATGTTCAGAGGCCAGTGAGGAAAAGTAGACTCTTCCATAAGGTAACATGAGACGCCTGGTGTCTGTGTGCGCCCTTGGACCTCATACCAGCTGACTTAGTGCTTCAGGAACGCTGTAATGATGACCTCACAACCTTCCTGCTGCAGTAAGTGGGGGGTAATTCTCCCTAATGTTCTTCACCCCACGCTATGGAGGAAGTCGGCTTTTAGAGCTGTTTATGAAAGACAACAAAACTTCCACCCAACAAATTACTGCGTGAGAGGGGAGATTGGGTTGAATCCCTCAGCCCTCAGTGGCTTATCGTGACTCACATGATCATTTGCATCAGGGATGTAAGGACTTATACTACCTAATGCAAGGCTTGTGACGATACTGGGCTTTCCACAAGGGAGGACCTTGACCTTGTTACAGTACTGGGCTGCTCTATCTGTGGTCTGAGGTGTTAGATATGGGTTTGGTATATATGAGGTATTCTATGACTGCATCACTTTTTGTAATCAGCCTGGGTGACCTGGATGTAGGTTCCTTTTTTGTAGGTTCTGTTTTTTCCAGCCTGTGGTTAAATATGTGTCTGTGACCGGAGACTGGCCTTCCTCCTATACAAGTCATCTTTCTTTGTCAGCAGGAAAGACAGGTATGACCTGACGTGACCTGGTCAGTGAACCTCAGCCAGACCTAATCTGGTCAGTGAACATCAGCCGGACGTGATCTTGTCAGTGAACCTCAGATAAATATGATCTGGTCAGCGAACCTCAGCCAGACCTGATCTGGTCAGTGAACCTCGGCCAGATGCACATGGCCGGATCTAGAAGTGGGCAGGGGTGAGCAACGCCTACCCAAATTTCTGCTCTGACCACCCAATTGGTCAGCTTTAGCCTGCGCCATCTGAATCTTCCAATCACGTTTCTTTCATTCGTCCCATCAGATATTCTTCGGCGCAGCGTTTGTAGTCGCCTGTGAAAGAGGAGGAGGAATGTTACCTTATTCTTCTTAAAGCTCCTTCTTCTTAAAACGTGTCCTTTGTTGCTGTAGTTTGCTGTAATGTTGTGTTATAATAAGGATTAAGGAATAAGGATCTTTGCTAGTAGGGGATAGTTAACTCTTCGATAGTTAGCTAGCTGACATTACTGTTGGTTAGGAAGCTCACTAGAACAGTACAGTGGAACCGCTGATTTGGTAACGGCAGCCTCAGTGTAATTTATAAATTAAACTTTATCATAGGTATGTAAGTACACAGAAAACAAGTCATTTATAGTGTTCGCTACTACCTACGGTTTCAGATCTCCCCGGTAGGTCTTGGAGTGCATCCCCCGTGGATACGGGGCCACTCCTGTATTTAATATTTGACAGTTTGCTGACGTTAATATCAGCTCAGGGTTGCTAAGTTTGGTCAGCTGGCTGGAGTGAGATTTTCAATTTGAGACAAGTCTGCGCACTCATTTCCATGTATGTAAGAGTTTTATTACTTTAATAAATAACAATAGTAATAAATAACAGTCTGTAGGGTTTGCAAACTCCCCCAAAGCTTTTGATGTAGCTAAATTTAGGTTTATAATGGAATAATATACACTCACCTAAAGGATTATTAGGAACACCTGTTCAATTTCTCATTAATGCAATTATCTAATCAACCAATCACATGGCAGTTGCTTCAATGCATTTAGGGGTGTGGTCCTGGTCAAGACAATCTCCTGAACTCCAAACTGAATGTCAGAATGGGAAAGAAAGGTGATTTAAGCAATTTTGAGCGTGGCATGGTTGTTGGTGCCAGATGGGCCGGTCTGAGTATTTCACAATCTGCTCAGTTACTGGAATTTTCACGCACAACCATTTCTAGGGTTTGCAAAGAATGGTGTGCAAAGGGAAAAACATCCAGTATGCGGCAGTCCTGTGGGCGAAAATGCCTTGTTGATGCTAGAGGTAAGAGGAGAATGGGCCGACTGATTCAAGCTGATAGAAGAGCAACTTTGACTGAAATAACCACTCGTTACAACCGAGGTATGCAGCAAAGCATTTGTGAAGCCACAACACGCACAACCTTGAGGCGGATGGGCTACAACAGCAGAAGACCCCACCGGGTACCACTCATCTCCACTACAAATAGGAAAAAGAGGCTACAATTTGCACGAGCTCACCAAAATTGGACAGTTGAAGACTGGAAAAATGTTGCCTGGTCTGATGAGCCTCGATTTCTGTTGAGACATTCAAATGGTAGAGTCAGAATTTGGCGTAAACAGAATGAGAACATGGATCCATCATGCCTTGTTACCACTGTGCAGGCTGGTGGTGGTGGTGTAATGGTGTGGGGGATGTTTTCTTGGCACACTTTAGGCCCCTTAGTGCCAATTGGGCATCGTTTAAATGCCACGGCCTACCTGAGCATTGTTTCTGACCATGTCCATCCCTTTATGACCACCATGTACCCATCCTCTGATGGCTACTTCCAGCAGGATAATGCACCATGTCACAAAGCTCGAATCATTTCAAATTGGTTTCTTGAACATGACAATGAGTTCACTGTACTAAAATGGCCCCCACAGTCACCAGATCTCAACCCAATAGAGCATCTTTGGGATGTGGTGGAACGGGAGCTTCGTGCCCTGGATGTGCATCCCACAAATCTCCATCAACTGCAAGATGCTATCCTATCAATATGGGCCAACATTTCTAAAGAATGCTTTCAGCACCTTGTTGAATCAATGCCACGTAGAATTAAGGCAGTTCTGAAGGCGAAAGGGGGTCAAACACTGTATTAGTATGGTGTTCCTAATAATCCTTTTGCCATAGGACTTCTTGCGTGAGAACCTGAAAGTGTGAATTTCATGCCAGATGCGTGAGAGTTGACAACCCTGTCAGCACTCAGTATTAATAAAGTTACCTGATTACATGCTATAATTCACTTAAATTAGTTATACACAACCATAAACAGCATGCAATTCTTGGTTCCCAATTCAAAGCTTGCTACCTGCA